TGGGAACAGTGCAGTAGGTGTGAACAAGGAACTTAACTGCTCTTTCTAGCCAAAGGAATGGGTGGAGGGTGGGCAGATCTAGCTGGAGAGTATAGAGGATTCCCCTCTGTAATGAATTGAATGTCTGGGTTCTCCCAAATTCATATCCTGAAATCCTAACCCCCACATTAGGAGGCAGGTATTAGATCATGAGGGCAAAGCCCTCATGATTGGGATTAGTGTCCTTGTAAAACAAGCCCCAGAGAGTTGATCCTTCCACTATGGGAGGATGCAATGAGAAATCTATATTCTGCAACTCCAAAGAGGACCCTCATCAGAAACCAACTATGTTGACATCCTGATCTTAAACTTCCAGTTTTCAGAACTGTGAGAAATAAAGTTTTATTGTTTTTAAGCCATTTAGAAATTATTATTCCTTATAACAAGATAAGATATTCTTGTCTCCCCTGTTTTTCTCACTGTCTCAAAGCCAACCCAAACAGTGCATTTGAAAATGCACAATGAAGCTAAGCAAAAAACTTGAGGATCCAACTATGATCTGCTCTTTACTGTCCAGGTCCCAATCAGACTTCTCAGTGGTTCATGCACATGGGCTTTGAATGTGGGAATCACCACCCACAAATAATAAAACAAACTCACTAAATGATTCTGTGTCCATCACCTGATTTCAAGATTTACTATAAAGTTACAGAAGTCAAGATAGTGTGATATTAGCAAAATGTAGACCCATGGAACAGAACAAAGAGCTCATAAATAGATCCATTGAAATATGGTTAGTTGATTTTTGGCAATGCTATAAAGACAGGTCAATGGAGAAAGAATAGTCTTTTCAGCTGGAACAACTGGGCAGTCACATGCATAAGTATGGACGTTGAAGTAATAAACCTTCTGCAGAAATTAATCTCAAATTGATTATAAACCTAAACATAAAATTGGACACAATAAAACTTTCAGTAGAAAACATAGGAGAAAATCTTTATGACCTTGAGTGGGGAAAGAGATCTTAGATATGCTTTTCAAAAGCATAACTATAAAAGAAAACATTGGTCAATGGGGCTTTGTCAGAATTTAAAAACATTTGCTCCATAAAAAAATAAAGTTTTTTTCCTTCTCTTTCCATGGCTAAATGTTTGTGTTCCCCCAAATTCATATGTTATTATGGTCTGAGACTAATCAATATAGATTATAAATTATAGATTATATATATATATATATGATATTTAAGCAGAAAAGTAAGATAAGATAAAATAAGATAATAGAAATGAGTACTATAAGCAATGTTAAACTGCCTTAGTAATAAGTTAGAAGTAAGCATAGAACATAAGTTCATCAGGAGTAAGCATAAGTAACACAGGATAATCAACTGTAAGACATAGGATCTAACCTACAGGAAATAAGATATAAAACAATGTAGGTTGATAAGTATACATCAGTAGGCCAGTATAGTTATAGATAAATATAAGGCTAATAGGTTAACATAGAAATAGTTAAGGTTAAATCAATATGGCCAAAGACAAATATAGCTTGATATAGCCATAGTGATCCATTTTTATGACTCTCATGTGAAACTGACATATAACTTGTTTTTAAGATGTTAAAAAAATTGTTTTTCTCTGTTTCATACACCCATACTCGAACCCAGGATGTAGACCCACAAATGTGCTCTAACCCAGGATGTGGTTGTGTGCTCTCGCTCTGCTAACTGCTTTCTCAGTGCTTGTAACCTGCTTGCTTGCAACTTGCAGATTCCATAGGATGTGGTTTTCTTCCTTAAATACTCTGGCTATAGACAATTCGGGGCTGTTCTCCCATAGGGTCACTTGGACTCGGTGAGGGACAGTCTCTGGCCAGATAATAAAAGACTCTCAAATTTGCCTTAAATTCAGATTTAGAATGTTTTCTGAGCAGTTGCCCCATAACAATGTTGAAATCCTAACACCCAAGTGATGGCATTAGGAGATGGGGTACTTTGGAGGTACCATTAAGAGAATGAAAAGAAATGCCACAGACTGAGAGAAAATATTTACAAATCACATATATGACAATATATTTGTACCCAGACTATATATACATAAAAAAGAAAACTTAATGCTCCACTAAAGAAAGCAAAAAACTAAAAAAAAGGCAGGGGGGCAATTTGAATAGATACTTCACCAAAGAAGACAGATGAATAGACATCTGAAAACATACTTCATAATAATTGTTTATTAGAAAAATTCAAATTGAAAACACAATGAAATACTATTATGCTCCTATTAGGATGGCAAAAAAAAAAGTTTTTGAACAATATTAAGTGTTAGCAAAGGTAAAGAACAGGTGGTAATGTTATATATTGTGGTAGTCACACCAAAAAATAGTTTGCCAGTTTCTTATGAAACTAGACCTGCAATAACTGTTCATCTCAGCAAACCTACTCCTGGGTATTTTACCCAAGAGAAATGAAACTTAAGTTCACACAAAAATCTGTGCTGCTATATAACAAAATATCTGAGACTGACTGATATATAAAGAACGAAAGATAGTTTCTGACAGTTCTGGAAGCTGATAAGTCCAAGAGGTTTGGTCTGGTGAGGACCCTGTCTGCTTCCAGGATGGTGCCTCATGCCTGCATCCTTAAAGGGGGTGAATGTTGTGTCTTCATGTAGTAGGACTGCATAAAGACCAAGCCCCAGGGAAGTCTTTTTTTAAGGACCTTAATCCCATTCATGAGACCTCCTAAAGGCCCCACGTATTAATACTATTACATTGGTGATTAAACTTCAACATATGAATGTGGGAGGACACATTCAGATTATAATACAATTTAATTCATATTCACCCCAAACTGAAGAAAACACAAATGATTTTACCTGTTGAATGGATAAATGCACTGTAATTCATTCACATTATGAAATATTACTCAACAATGAGAAAGAACAAACTGTTGCCAGGTATGGTGGTCATGCCTATAATCCTAGTGATTCAAGAGGCTGAGACAGGAGGATGGTCAAGTTTGAGGCCAGCCTCAGCAGCTTAGTGAGACTGTCTCAAAACTAATAAAAAAAAAAAAAAGAAAGAATTGAGGATGCAATTTAGTGGTAAAGTTTGTCTTTGGCACCAAGACAAACAAACAACAGCAACAATAACAAAAAACAAAGAAAGAAAAGGAAACAAACTATTAATACAGTCAATAAGATGGATGAACCTCAACTATATTATATTAATCCAGGGATCAGCAAACTTTGGTTTGCAGGCCAAATCCTGCCATCTCTATTTATTTAGGTATTGTCTGTAGTCCTAGTGACTCAAGAGGCTGAGACAGGAGGATAGTCAAGTTTGAGGCCAGCCTCAGCAGTTTAGTGAGACTCTATTTCAAAATAAAGTGGTAAAGACAAACAAACAACAGTTTTCATGCTACAATGGCAAATTTAAGTATTTGTATCGGAGATAATATGATTCCCAAAGTTGAAAATATTTACTATCTGGCCCTTTACAGAAAAAGCGTGCCAATCCCTGTGATAAGTGAAGGGAGTCAGATACAGAAGCCTACATAATCTATGGTTCCATTTATGTGACATTCTGGAGAAGGTAAAACCCCTGGGATAGAGATCACTGGTTCCCAGGGGTCAGTTCGGGTATAGGAATTGACTACAGATGGACAGCATAAGAACATTTTTTGGGTGTGAAGCAACTCTCCTGCATCTTCATTATGGTGATCCTCACACATCTCCATTCACTTTCCAAAGCTAAAAGAAACGATTCAACTGCAACTGCATATACAAAGTCTTCCTGTATATCAACAAAAAACTGAATAAAAAATAAGTGCTATAAAAATTGTGTATGTATTTGGACATTTTGGTTGCAAATTGTAGAAGTTGAGATGATTTTTTAATAGGAAAAATGGAGATAATTCAGTATTCAGGTAACTGGAAGTAATACTGCCATCTATGACAAATCGAAAAGAAGGGCTTCAGGAACTGGGTCTGAGAGAAGAGATCTGGAGATCACAGGCCTGGACTCTTTCTCTCTGCCTGCCCTCAAGTTCTCTGTGCATGGTCACTCTCCACTGATCTCTTTGTTGCAGGGATCCTGTCCTCTGGCAGTCCCAATTCAGTAGCCCAGCTGGAAACAGAGAACTTCTTTTCCTCTAAACATTCATTTAACGACTCAGGGAAGGGCTATGATGGGCTCTGCTTTGCCACCAGCCTTGATCCATGGCTGTTCTCATCCCATTTCTGTGACCCAAGGACCAGGGTCTGCTTTGAGAAGAAGAATGGAAAGCCTTTTGAGTGGACACAATCCATAGCAGTCTCAGTTAACTTTACTTGCCATCAGTGAATATAATTAACAATCAATATTTTATTTCTAGTTCATGTCTATTTATAGTTTCACAATTGTTATCTTACCCTTTACAAACATTGATTTGGAAGGCAGGTTTGAGGTATTTAAAAGAAAGGTTTTGAAGCATTTGTCAAGTGGTCTCTGACCTACAGAACAGGGAGCCATTCTTAATTAACCATGAAAATATTTATGTCAGCTTTCAGTGGATTTCATTTAAGTATTAATATTTCAAGAAAAAAATGTTGTAAAAGAAGTGACCTAATGCTATAGGTATAGCCCAAATAAGAGACATTGTATGGATTAAGACTGTACTGTAGCAACCTTTATGATTAAGCTTTTTTCCCTTTGAAGTATGAGCTTTTAAACATTTAGGGAAATTCTTTTTAAAAATTCAAATCTAGATAGCCTCTTGTCAAAAGAGAAAAGATGCATAATTCTAAGGATTTTCTGAGCATGGCATCAATCATGACGATTGAATTTGGCTTACTAATTTTCCTGCCTCTGTGAAGGAACTAGAACTAACATTCTCTTTAAATGGAAAGCAGACATACAAAGACCTTAATTTTCTCTTTTCATGCAGTGTATGCTATAAAGAAATCATTAAACAAAGTATAAAACTCCTTCCAAATCAAAAGACACAGAAATTTCATTATCTTGTTTTTCTCTTTCCCTTTCTGCAGTGTTATTGCAAGGGCTCCACCTGATGGGTTAGCTTAGCCAAGAGAAAATCAACTACACACTGATCTCATGTCCCTAAATTACCACCCAATAAGAGGAGGAAGAGAGAAAAATAAAAGCTGGCTTCCATTTGCCCAGCCTTCTGGTTCATCGACCTGGGAACACAGACTGCATTGGCTGCTCATTTACAGGGCTGCATTGATGGCTTCTCCCCAGGAGGGAACCATGGAGAGAATCATTCACCCTCAAACTCCTCTGATACTTGGTGCCTGAGGAAGCAAAAGCAGATAAAGAAATTGGAATGAGACTTGCCTGAGAGGAACTTTGAATCATTTCAGAGAGGAATGAAATCTCAAATTTTAAAACCTAATTTAATAAACATACATCTTTGCAAAATAACATTGTGCATATCAGCAGCGTTTCTATCTCCAACTGAAAATGGAAGCAAAGTTTTCCATGACTGGGAAATCCTCTTGATATTGAGACAACTGGAAATAAGAGTTAATCCATCTAATATTTTTCTTCTATTCATTAAAGTTACCTTATTCCATATTTTAAAATTGTGTCCCACTCTACTTTGAAACTTTAGGTTGAAGTGATGTATAATACTTAAAACTGGGAATTTAAAAAAAATTTACTAGGGAAAGTTTCAAAATTATCCATTAAATAAAAATCACTGCATTAGCTTAAGCAGTAACAGTCTGATACAGTCCATTTCAATAGAAGAAGATATCCAAGAACAGATCTACTGGTTGTCTTAAACCGTGTGGTGGTGTGTGGGGCTGAACAAAATCTTTCCTATGTTCTAGAATTGGAGATCAAGGCCAATTTCAAGAGCAAACTGTACTAAGTGCCTACATTCCAGGACAAAGGATGATTAGAGATGTGTCTGAGAGTTTGTAGATTTATCCCACTGGCACCAAACCTCCATCTGAACACCACCACCCTGGCTGAAATAAGATAGCCTAGAGGGATAAGGAGACCGACTCTTAAAGAAAGGCCAGGAAGGGTGGGGGGACTGAGAAGGTGGGCCAGGGAGCACTCACTGGCACAGCTGATGGTTGACCTAGGGGATCTGACAGCCAAACCAATTGTTTTTTCATATTCTGCTCCATCTCATGACACAATTATTTCAGTAAATGCGGAAATTAATACATTTTAAACCTTAGTTAAATCTGCTATGCTCCTTCCAAATAGAATTTTTCTATGTGTTATATAGATTTTTAATTTGCTTGAGTTTCTTGAGAACTAGATGTTCTATCTTTTGGATTCTACCAACAAAGAACATTTATAAATCACTATCATATAATTTCTAGTGTACAGCATACTGTGGCTTCATTTCCAGTAGAAAGAGCCAAAGAAATATTGATTCAATCCAGTCATTCTTTGGCACTAGTCCCAGAATATAAGCAGATAGAATGTCTACATAAACAAATTCTTATGAAATATAGTTAAAAGATTTTGTGTCCAGAAAAGCACCATTGCTATTACAAACTGAAATAAGTAGTAATAATGGGCAGAAAAGAATTGCAAACAGCGAAAAAATGTTGCATTCATTTTTATGCATATGATCACATCAGTAAAAAATAAAAGATTACCAAAATATTCAGAAAAAAGAAAAAGTAATGAGTTAATATATTTTGATTGTTTCAATGAGATTTTTGGGAAAAAGGGGGAAATGACTGTCTAGATTGGTCTGTTATGTTAATGATAATAATGAATAGAATTATGTTTGTTTGTTTGTTTGAAACCTTAATATTGTCAAGATGGATCTTCACAGATTCATGTTCAGTGATTTCAGAGCCCAATTTTTCAATCTATTGTCCCTCATGGTTGATCCAAGAGCAGTTTTTATTAATTTTAATTTCAAAAGCTATTTTTACATGATGCAGCACATAGTAGGGAGAAGTCTTAAGTGTCAGGATAAATTTATCAGAGATTCATACAAATTCTATTTCACAGTGAATTCTAGAAATTATAATACTGAGCATGTCAGTTTGTCTTTAGGATCAATTCTAGTGGTTTTTAAATTCTCCAAAAACTTAATAAATAAATCCTTATTAGTAAATTCATACAGATTATATTTTGTAAAAAAACTTTGAAAGTTTTTCTTCAGCTACAAAAATCAGAAATATTATTTGATCCTTTGCCTTAGAACACCTGGTAAGAACAATGAAGTGGACCAATCCCAGTCTTTTCACTATCTCCTACAAATCTATAGTCAGCATCTCTTGTTATTTCTCTTGGGATTTTTCTCCAGAATCTGATTAATTTTTCTTTTGTTTTTATAAGTTGTTGGAGGAAAATTTTTTCCTCTGCCACTTAGGTCTGAATGGTTGGGAGCCTGAGAATCATTTATAGTAGATTAATAGGAGAAGAATTTATTGTACATGCAGGTGTACTCTATAGAAAAAGCTGCTCCCTGAGCATCTGTGGATAAAAGTTCATATAACAGTCTAGCAGGTAGAGGTAGTGAGTATGGGATGTTAGGACTTCAAAGGCTGGAAATATTTAATGAGGCTCATCTGCATAATATTTTTTAAATAGCCCAGTATCCAAGGTCAGCTACCTCCCAGATTGGAGACCACCCCTGGGAGGTTGGAAGGCCTCTGCAGCAGCCACCTCTTCTAAGGCAAATTCAGATAAGACTTCTTTCTGCTTCTTACACAGCTCAGGCATTTTTACTTGATGCCATTTTGGTAGGTTTTGGTCTCTTTGATGTTTTGTGCCATAATTACTGTATTCAGAACTTTTGTGTCTTAATCTTAAAGCAACAGGTTTAAAGCTTGTTGTCTAACTGTACGTTGTCCGCAGCTGATTTGGACTGTTGGCAGGTATTTTTGGATCTTAGTAATCTCATCTAAAACATCAGAAAAACAAAACAAAACTCACAAAAGAAAAAATTCACGCAACAAAGAAATTTTAAACGAATTCTCTTGGGTCCACATTTTCCGTCTGGTCTGGGACAGCCTTTTCACTGTTAGACACACATGCTGCAGTTTTTCCTACTACTGCAGCAAGAATTAAATCAAGGAATAATTTTTTTTCTCCAAATTTTCAAGGGAGCCATATATAAGGCAACACTTTCAAAGGAATGAACTCTGCAAAAGAATTTTTTAAAAAATGATTTATGTAAGATATGCATAAGGACTGGGAGTCATTCCTGATTTGTGCCTGACACCACTGTGAGCATCTGTCATAGTTTCAGCTTTGTCATATCATTGACCACGACAGATGATTGTGTCTGTCCATCATCATTCAGTTGTTTTAACTTCTCTTCTGTGGGCTCAACAACATTCTTCCAGGAATTACAAAGAAGCTCAAGAATGATTCCTTTATTTGCACTTTACCACCTTCATCTGGACATATCTGACTATTTTTCACATTTGATCAGTGTATGTATGAGACATGGAAAATGCTAGCAAAAATAATTCCTAGGCCAGGCACGGTGGCTCACATCTGTAATCCTAGCATCTTGGGAAGCCGAGGCAGGAAGATCTCAAGTTTGAGACCAGTCTCAACAACTTTGCTAGGCCTTCAGAAATTTAGCAAGACCATGTCTCAAAATTAAAACAATAAAAAGAGCTGGGGATGTGGCTCAGTGATTAAGCATCTCTGGGTCCAATCCTTGGTACCAAAAACAAACAAGCAAAAAAAGAGTTCTTAGTATTGTGCTTTTTAAAATATCTGTCTAGATGGTTCCACTGATTTAATATTTTATTTTTTCTTGATTCATATTTTAGTTTGCCATTTAAATGGGAGAGAACACATTTCATCTCCTTAAACATATTATTCAAATTCAGTAAAATACTGCATTTTACAACCTGAAATTTACTTGTTCCAATCAGCTATGTTATAACTGACATTTTGCATTGTTTCACTCTTGTTTAAAACACAAATAAAAACTCCAAGGGACCAAATAGAAAAATAGAATCCAAGTTTTCTGATTCTATTTCCTTTGCTTTATAATCTCTATCATTATTTAATTTTGAATCACTGTTTTAAGGAAGAATATGGAATATCATAATGGCTGTGTCCAAATCAAATATTACATTTTAAAAATATTTTTTTGGTTGTAGTTGGACACAATGCCTTTATTTTATTTATTTATTTTTGTGTGGTGCTGAGGATTGGATCCAGCACCTCGCATGTGCTAGACGAGCGCTCTATTGCTGAGCCATAGCCCTAGCCCCAAATCTTAATCTTTTTGAACTTACTCTGCCCAAAGAATGCAAATTACTAAATCACTGTGTCTTGGGAGCCAGCTAAGTAATGGGAATTTTTCCATGTTAACTTCCACATAGGAAAAATATTTATGAAAGGATAAACAATCAAACTGTATTAATTTGAAGCACATATATACACAGAACCAATAACCAGTAATTATTTAGATCTTAGACCAACAAAATATATTTATAGGGTGAAATATTTTATCACTAACATTTTTAATAATTGCAATGATGATATAAAAGAAGACTGAGTCGTAGTTGATTTTAGTTTTGCTTTTAAATTCTCTACAGACCATGTATTGCCTTTCTGCCCATAGCAGGTGTTGGAACCTCTCACCATTTTACCCTTGGTGCAAAACTGGTCTTGAATGAGACTGCAGTCAAGAGAATCACTTAAAGGTCTGTGGGCTTGTGTAAAGGGGAGAAATTGCTTTCTTGTTTTTTCCTGGTTGTTTGCTTAGCCATTGAGCTTGATGACATGACTAGATGTCTCCAAGTGAAAGAGAGAAATTTGAAGTGGTGACATATCCTGGTAGGAGAAATGACAAGACTGTCCTCCAAAGTTCCAAGTGTGTGCATATGCCTGAGGCCCTGGAGTTGACCTGTGGTGCCTAGGGAAGCTGTTTGGGAACAGTCTAGATGATAAAACTACATCAGCAAAAGAATAAGAGCAAGCACCTCATTACTGTGGATGAAGGGCTGCCCCCATTGACACCCCATGGGAAACTATCTTGCTCTGAGTGACTTACTAACCCAACATTCCACCCACCCTTTACCATTCATGTCCCTGGAACATCAAACTAAGCCTGCACCAGGCAAGGAGGATAGGGAAAGCAGACTGGGACAAGAACTTTAAAATTGAAAGTTAGGTAGGAATTTTAAATGAGGAGGATTAACTCTTAACAAAGAATAATCTGTCCGGCTTAATAATCAAGCATGTTGTCAAGTATGGCATCAGTTTGATATGTCTTTGACAGAGTCTATTATCTCATGGGAAAAACATAGACTAAAGGTGTATCAATAGAGTAACAGCTTTTGGAAAACAAAACAAAACAAAAAGGTTTATTTTTGTTCTTGGATAATGCATATTCCTTCTGGGCCACTGAATAAGGCTGGATTTCCTTTGTTACCAAATGAGTGAATGCACTCTGTCCTTTCCCTGTTACCTGATAGGAACCCAGAGAGGGTTTTCCTAATAGGTCCTGTTCTAGTTGTCTTATTTCTAGGAATTTTGCTGGTCTGACCCAGGACTTTGAGAAATTTGCTTCCTTTGACATTAACATTAGGATTTTTAGTTTATTCTCACATCACCTCAAGTTTCAAGAGCTTCA